GGCGGTTTTACATGAAACACACAGAAGTGAATAGCAAAATAGCATGGATGGAAACATGCCTACTGCAACCACATAAAAGGCTATTCCACAACCCTGAACACTAATGACTTGGATGTGTTTGTGTTCGTTTGTGTGTGTGTGTGTACATAAATGTGTATGTGGTTTATACTGTATGTATGTATGTATGTTTCCACATGAGCCAATGCTGCTAGGCAGATCAAACGATTCCTTTTCATCCACTTATATGACTCAGGCGTCATCCATTCAAGTGACTGTAATTTAATTGAATTTTCTTTCACCATCAATTCTCACTCTAATTAGTCCCCACAGTTTAATGAGGATGGAAATAAAGCAGATTTAATGGCAAAACAAAAACTGAGAGCCTATATGGTAAGCTGCTCCTGTGGGTAGTATAGATGGATCTTCCGTTCATAAAAAACACCTCCACAGAAAAAGCGAAGCAGCAAGATTACCACTTTGAAGATGAATGTGTGAAAAAAAGGTACACGTTTACTTCTCTGTTTCCGCCCCTAACACTGAGCTATTGCGATCAGGAGTCTGAGAACTATGAAAATGAGTTCCGAGCTGAAAACGGTGTGCATTCAGTTTGTGAGCCAGTGAAGCTAATTTCTTAACATTCCCAAACACTGCCAGAAAAAATCATCAATCTTCTGAAGCAGCCATCCGTTCTGCAGTAGAAAGGAATAAAAAAAGTAGAGGAAAAAAATCAATTCATACTGTGTGCATGTATAGCTTCCAGACTTCTACCCCGTCCTCATTTACGAAAAGACAGCTATCCTAAATGAAGTTCAAGGTTTTTTTCGACAACCTGTATCTTGTCAGATTTTCCTTTCCCCAGAAAAAATCCCAGTCTTTAGATCTCAAGTTAAAAAACTGGAGCTTCAATAGATACAAAAAGCTAAAGTCGAGCAGTACAATATTTTGACAGGTTGCGCTTTTAAAGTAGAGATGCATTTCTTAATTTACCAAACACATCCTTCCTTATGATCAAGTTGTTGCTCTTATTTGACCATATGATGCATCTTGGCTTATCAAAGTAATTGCACGTTCCTTCCACCTCAAAGAGTTTTCTACACTGAAGGAGCATTATGGCACATTGAACAATGAGCTCATTAAAAGGCCTTCCAATCATCTGTGATTAGACTTTACAGGACATTTCAAATCAAAGGATGAAAACACAACAGCAGCATAAGTTTTTATCCTTTCCAGCTGTATCATAACCCATTTTGTGCAGTCATGTATAAAATCTTCCGTGTATGTACAAAACCAGTATGCCTATGGCTGCCATTCACAGTATAATCACATTTAATTTCAGCTTTTGAAAAGTGAATAATATAAGTACAGTCCTGTAACAGTGCAATATATACTGTAGTGCCATGGCTGACAAAAACGTGGTCAAACAAAACGTCAGCAACAGACTGCAATCTAAGAGGAACAGGCTAGTGGAGTTAGTTTCACAGCTCCACCTGGAACAAGAATCACATCTAATAGATCTGAGACTTTCTTAAACTGCCCTGTCAGAGCCATAATAAAACAAAGCAGCTGCTAAAGTGTTGTTATATTCAGACTGCCCCTCCGGGTATTGATACATTACATAAACATGACTGTATGCATACTTCAGCTGAAGGGTAACTGTAAGATAATGACAATACACTGAACACATCAGTAGGCACTTTCATTTTAACTTTAGAAGACACCTAATCTACAGTAACTTCTGCCAGCAATTGGTTACACTTTTAGTGACATGTGATGGAGTCCAATACTATGTGCTGTCAAGAGTGGCCTGGTTCTGTGCAGCAGCAGTCTTGGCAGTGAGCACTCGTGCTCACTGTGTTGGCAGGTGGGGAGAGTGCAGAGCCTTGCTTGTGTGTGTCATGTCACATTCAGCTCATCTGTCAATGTAGTGGATTATTTCTTGAGAGACCAGAATTGGCTGCCCAGAATCAGGCCGCCATCAATCTTCAGCCACACTAGCAGGACGCAGGGGAGGCTGTGTGGAGCAGAGGCTCATGGGAAAGGGAGCGGCGCCGCTTCCTGAGCAGGTGACGAAGCAGTCAGGCAACTCGTTACTCAATCTCCGCCTCAGCGGTGACTATGCCGATTTGTCACAGAAACATTCGGAATAAATAAATAAATGCGATCTCAAAACTTTATCTCAGCAGTCACATTTTTTTTTTTCAGTATGCACTCTCATGTTCACTGTTGCAAAGGGCAGATAAGTTGATTTCTCAAACATTGTTAGATGCTTCAACAGGCTAGAGGATTACATCCGTACCTAGCTCAACATGACCTTCACTTCCCCTCCTCAGATACCCACACAGCCCCTTTGTCTGGGTATCTTTGTCTATGTGGGGTGGTTTGTGAGTTTTTGTACCACTCAGTCTCTCAGACAGTCAGCCAGGCTGTATGCCAAGACCCACAGAAATTTATTTTAGGACATGGTTTCTTACAATAAACCAACCCCCTATTTCGCTTCAAGACTTGGCTTATGACTGTCCAGAAGGCGATACAGTAGCTAAAGCATGTCACATTGCAAGGTACAGGACAACAGCTTCAAGCTCAGCTTCAGCTTCTTAAGATTAAAAACAATTTCTATTAATCTGTTCATCAGCACAAATATCTGAATCCTTTACTTCTCATGCTTCATTAATCAAACAATTTTACAACTTGATTTTCTGTACGGCAGACAGTATATCACACATCTTTTCATTATCCTGTAGAAACACAGAGACATTATTTGATTATGGAAAACAGCATAGCATTAAAGCCAATGGATTTTTCAAGGCAAGACATCTCTTTTGTGCTACGTCCTACATAGCTATATCTATTTATATCTGAGGGTTCTGGCCTCAATGAAACCAGAGAGCTTCTCAAATTATAAAATCAATTCTAATTCAAATATTCATCATAGCATTTCAATTCTGAGAGAGCAGTTCTGGTTAGATCGGTTAACGCCACTCCACGGCCGAGTAAGATTGATGTCAGCTTAATCCTCTTAAAAAAACATGATGTACAGTAAATTGTACAGTTGCCGAGCAGAAGGAAAAAAAAAACAGACAGAGACGTGTTCTCTTCGAGTGCCCAGTTGTGATAGACCATTATCCCTGGGAAGCCTGCTGATTAGACTAGTAAAATATCATAACACACCCTCAGATTATGATTGTCAGCACCAATTATGGCTGTCATCCATCACAGTTCTATTTAATTTCAAAAGTTTTCTGGAGAGTACTGTCAAAATAACATTGTAACAGGACTAAGTGTGAACGCTGGTGTATACTGTAAAATGTCTCTCTTATAATAACTAATAACGTAAATGAAACCTGAGACTTAAAAAGATCAAACCAAGAGTGGTTGTGTGTGTTTATCATCCATCTCTGCAGTGTGTAAGTTTGCATCCTCTCAGACTTGATGTGTCCTGAACACACCTCCAGTATCCCCAGAGGAACCATGAAAATGCCATACCATAATGGCCTCAGTGAGAAAATGGTGTGTAAATGTGTGAGCATGTACATGTCCGTAGTGTCCTCGGTGTTGTATGCAGTAACTGTGTGAGTTGATCGGTCTGACAGGAAGCCTTTAAGATCACTCAGTTATAACTATCCTTTGCCTGGATGACTCCTCTAGATTTATACCAGGGGTGGTGGTTTGGGGGTGGGGGGTTCTTATTTTTCCCCCTTCTCCCCCTTTGGGACCATTGCATTATTCAAGAGACACTTACTGAGCCTTGCACTTCCTTGTACATCTTTGGGACCAAGCTCGACTTGCCAACCAGTCAAAAAGAAAAGAAAAAAACAGAAAAACTAGAAGGCAGCCTTTAAAAATTCATTCAGAGCTCTCTGTCGCTCATCCTTCACCCTCTTGTTCCAATTAACGGGACCAGGATACTTTGAGAACTTTCCATCTATCATAGCTGGGATTTTCATGTGTCAGCTGTTCCACAGTAAAAGTAAGCCAATTCTCCGACATGCTGCTTAAAGTCACCAATGTTCAACACAAGCATGGAGAATTCGATGCTGGATTTTTTAGATTTTTTTGTCCTCTTGCTGTGCTTCAATTACTGCCTTTTTGCCTGGCAATGCAACACACACGCACACAAAGGGAACCAAGCAGAAGATAGCATCAATGTTTAACAGCCGCTTGGCTTCTGGAGAGAGCCACACTCTGTACGAGGGTTCAGCATGGGAGTCACACTCATTGTTAGAAGCTTAAAGAAAGCCTTTGCTTTGCTCTAGAAAACCTTTGCCTTCCCTGTAACACTCCCACATACACCATAAGAAATGCTAGTAAGCTTTCCCATAATCAGAGAATTAGATCCGCCTCTGCGTCTACCCTCCCCTTTTGCCCCTACGGTGAAGAAGGCGTCGGGCTTAATTGCCAAATGTTTCCAGTGCAAAAGAGGGAAACATAATTGTCATCTCCATCTAAGCCACAGTGATCAAAGCTCCCTTGGCTACCAGCAGAGTAATAGGGATTTTTGCCCCAGCTTGTCCTACTCGTAACAGTCTGCCAGCAAGATTCAGGGTGTAGTAGTCAAGAATTCCTCACCGCACTCACAAATCATCTCGCCACCAGCTAACTCTCAGTGTCTGAAGATGCTCTTTGTCTAACAGCGCTTCCATAGTCGGATTCAAACCGAAGTATGCAGCAACAATATATATAGTCTTAATATTTCTTCCATAAATAGCACAAAACGTACATGGGTACATAGATCTGAGTATGACTAAATATAAGTACGTAACCTGCAATCAGAAGCACAATTAGTAGTCTCCCTCTTTGCTTATCCTGTATGACTGCGAGCATGGTGAATCATCATGTTACAGTACAGTACTGTGGCAAATCATTCTGACATACTGCAGCAGTCTCTTGCTGTTGCTTTTTAAACAGCCAAAGCCAAGAACTCCTGTCCCACCGAGGGGGCAACGTCTCGCACCGTTAAGGCTGTGCTGTGAAGCAGAAGTCTGACAAGGAGATACACGTACCCAGGGTGAGAATGTCGGTGCGACCGGGCCGGGCCACATGGTGCTGCTGGATGGTCTGGTAGAGTGTGGCCTGGCACAACAGCAGGAAGCCGAGGCTAATCCACATGGCCAACAACCAGGACATGGTAAGGCCGAGTCTGCAGGACAGCACACACAGCGGGGGAGAAACAACAAGGAAAAAGGGGTATTACAGCATGTCTATATATTTACAACACACATATTGTGTCAAATGTATCAATTGAAAGAAACAAATAGGTGATGTTTGTCTGATATACTCCTAGAAATATTTAGACCAATATAAAGTATAATTTATTCCAAAGGTATGTGCATGGGTTACTTTCCTATAATAATGCTAGGAATTAAAAGAAAAAGAGATCAAGGTTTCAAGGAAAAAGTCCTGCAGACAAAAGACTCAAACAAATGAGAAAACACTAAGTTAATCTACTCAATATCTGCCTTTTCCAAACCTGCTGCCACGTGAAAAGGACTTGTACCACACAAAAATAAAGAATGAAATGAAGAAAAGGAAAATAACCTGCTGCGATCTCTTTGTCAGACTGTAATAATTGTGTAATGAAATATGTCACCTCTTCATGAAAACTACAGTTCCATTAACAACAACAGCAACAACACTGAATCCTTGAATACTTAAAAAGTTTATAAAAGGCTGCATTTCAAAGCAGGAACATCCTTCTTGCAGATTTGTTCAGCGACTGCCCTAATGGCTGGTGAGGGCCAGCATATGGAGACACGCCTTAGCCCTCACTGAATAATGAGTCTCTCCTCCTTTCCAGGTGTTATTACCACTTCTCTCCATTCAGGACCCCACAGTGGGAAATTTAAAAGCATCACCTCACGTCCTCTAAACCAAACTCTGGCTTGGTGTGTTTATAGGCTCCCTGCCAAATACAGTCAAACTGTTGATGTCTGTTTGGAAGAACAAATAATCCTTGGACTGATCATTAGTTCTGAAGAAGAATATATTTCACCTAAAGCACTTGCTGTATGGCAGGCACTGAATGCATTTGTTTTGTATTTGTCATTTTTCTCTGAGGTGGGGACTTTCTGGGGGAATCTGATGGTCTGATCTAGTAAATTGTTACCAGAAAGGCACCACAGCCACTGTTTGCTCCAACTAGACCACTTTGTGTTTTGATGTGCATTTGATATTAAAGCCATTTAGGCATTACTAAATGTTGCCGTGTGTGTTGATGTGTTTTGCGCCCTCAGTGACATTCAGGCTGCTTAATATTCAGCGAAAATTAAGCATATACTTATGAACAGCACATTGTAAATCCCCACCCCTGCACTAAATCCAACATAATCCGCGGTTTTGTGGAAATGTGAACTGCTCCCATGTTTTCCTCTCTTTTTTTTAACCACACAGTATTTCTGTTCGCCAAGCTGGCTGCATATTCAAAAAGAAGCGTTGCGCTTGCATGGTTAACTGCATATTGCATAGACTCTGAGCTCCTCCCGGTTATCGGAAGGCATTCTTGCCGAAAATAAAATGTGCTCTTACCAGCAGCGTTTTACCAGCGATGAAGACGCACGGCCGACTTTAAATAAAACGAACAAGTATGGGCAAAGAGCAGCTTTCAGGAACACAGACCCAAACTCTCTTAGTCGCTGTTGTAGCCTCATTTTCTTTAATACAAATATCTATATTGTTTCCCAAAGCAAGAAAGAAAACAGTTCTCTCAGTATTGTAGTCTCACATAAAACGGGAGAGGACAGCTCCTCTGTGCGTAAAGTCCAACATTAGATAGTAAACGCGGTCGAGGAACAGAAACAGCAGACACACCTGCAGGCGCACAACCTACTAATGCAACTGCCTGCAACGTTGATTTAAGGTAATTATAACTGGGATTTTTTATTGCAACTTCAGTGATGAATCATACTGTCTGACTGCCACACACAGAATGATCGAGACGATACAGGCTCCTGCCTAAATACATTTCAACTAGAATTGTATTAAACCATGCACTTAAAGTATTTATTTCAGCCTGTACACTGACTCGTGTTTGTAGTTTTTTTACAAGATAAATGCAACATATGTGTCCCATTTAAACATGATTAAAACTTATATAACACATTGCTTAAAAATGATTAGTACTATGGTATACAGGATGTTTTTAATAGACGCTGTTTTTCATATTTCACTACTTACATACACTGTGAGGCCAGACATTTCACCTTTACTCAACATTTTTCAACAAGCAGTATTGTGTGGGTATCCTAAGATACAGTTGTCTAAGTACCCCCCACCCCACCCCAGCCATACCCTTCCTCAAACACCAGAGGTATTCCTGAAAGTCCCACACCCTTACCTGAGCAGTGTGTTCAGGAGGAAAGGTGCTCAGTCAGAATCACTGCCTGCCTTCCCAGCAGACTCACTCCTCTGTCTTTAATCCATCCATACTTTGAAGCCAGGGATTCCCGCCTGAAATTCCAGTACCAGATAAGCCGAACACTGCACAAAATGATGTTCTTCTCCTCAATATTCTGTAATCTGGTGCTTTTCGTGGTTCCCTTTTGAAGTCCGTGGCAACACAGTCACCAAAAGCAAGACACCCAGGGCTCTAAGTCACAAACTGGCCAGGATTTGAGGGATGGGAAACTGATCATGTCACTGCTGTATCAGCCACATATACGATCAGATTTCTTGTCCTCTCCTTCCTTCACTCCTCTCCGTCAGTAGAACTCCTCTGTTGTGATGACAGGGAGCTAATTTACCCCCCTCACTTGTCGTCTCCTTCTCACGCATGCAGCGGAAGGCTCCAGTGGAATGACTGCTCTGTCTGCTCTTGGCTGCGTCCCCCCATTGAGAAGCTGCGCTGATAGTGTGAGCCTCAGTCCTCTCTTCAACGCACTAAGTAGAGAGTCTGTGTCAGAGAGGCAGAGCGAGAGTGTGTGAGTGAGCGTGCGTGCGTGTGTAGGCTATTACAATGTAGCCCAGCTGGAAAGAGAGAAAAAGGAGAGAGAGAGAGAGAGAGAGAGAGAGCTGAGAGAGAGTCAGATCACATGTCTTAAAGCAAGACTGCCCACTTCTGCATCAAGACTTCATCAGCAAATGAAGCATGCTTTATTAACCTACCCCTCTATACATCCCAACCTCCCATCCATAACGTCAGGAGACATGAGAGTGTAGCCTTCAGCTCACTTCAGATGTGTCTGAGTGTATCAGTGTACCCGTGTGTGTGAGTTGGAGAGGGTGTGGAGGTAGGATGACTGAATATGCCTCTTTTACTCATCGCCTTCCAGTATTTGAGGGGTGAAAGTGAAATATGCTCCAAGCGTGGCACTTTTAATAGAAGGCAGAGTGCCTCATCAGAGCACTGCAATCTCCATATTATCCATTATGAGTCGGCTGTGCTCTTTCTACCTGTTTTCGTGGTGATGAGTGGGGATTGGTTTTTACTGCCCGCCCCTTTTGGCTGTTTCCCACCACTGAAACAAACTCACATCTGCAGTGGCAGCCTGAAAGAACCTGTGAGCATCCTTCTGTCACTTGCAAACCAAATCTGTTCTGGCTCAGATGGAAAGACATCCATTGTCTTTTGTATGTGTGTGTTTTTTTTGTGTGGGTGTCTGCATGTGTGTGTTTCCGCTGTGGCTGAGCCATGCAGGCAGGTGAAACAACCAGTCTGGTTTGTGTGGAGTATGTTTTCTTCCAACACATTTCCTTCCATATGGAGGAGCTCCCCTTTAACTCATTATACTGTTAACCAGAGATTTACAGTATATGCCAATCCCACGCACCTGCCATGGCTGACTCACTCACAGTCTGACATTTCACAGAAAATGAACCCTATGCTACTCACAACAATACACAGCTGAGGGGCTAAATAAGCTGGCAGACAGTGAGGATAGTGTTGGTACTGTGGGGGAGTACAGACAGATGAACTTGATGATACATTTCCAGATAAACTTTGTCTCAGAGCTGTAGTTGCACCCTGTTTTCTTTGCATGCTATGATTACAGTCTATCCAAGTATGTTTCAGAGAGCCATGGTGCAAATCAGCCTTCTGATTGGCTGTTGTAATCCAGTTATCTAGTGGGTGGAATTTTCAAGATGGTTAACAAGCCCTTAAATTGCTGGTCACTGTGCCATGCCACAGGGCATCCTGGACTATCTCTGCTGCTGCCGCCATCACCTCTGCTTGTTCTTTACACGTCATAGTGAGATTTGACAGCCAGATGTGCACAGCCCCACAGAGTTAAAATCTGCAGAGGAGAGATGGGCAGAATGTGAAAAAACACAGTGTAACAAAATGGAGGAAGAGATGTGGCGGGGATTTATTATTCCCTTTGTTGGTTTACTTAAAGAGTGATGTGGGTACCTGAGTGAGTAAAATAGTAGCTGTTAGCAGACCTCCTCTTACAGCTGAAAACTGGGCAATAAGAGTGGTGTGTTATTCCTGGATGTGTTTTAAGCCATGTTCCGTTTTTCTTTTTTGCCTTTGGACTGTGTCCTCTGTATTCACATAGTTCTGTAATAATCTAATGGGGACACAGTTATGAATAGTGAAGCTGCCATCTGGATCTCTGTTGGGTAAAGCACACCACATGTTAAGTGACCAGATTCACATTAAGCAGGAACTGCCGAGTAATTACCACATTGATTAGTGTTTCTACACTGTCAAGCTATATTTGCACAAAATGGCTTGATTACCAGTAAATAGGCTTATTTGTATTTGTGCATAGTTGTTGATATTTCCTTTTGTGAGGGGCATTAATAGCATACACGCTTGAATTTCATTTTGTCTTCAGCGCTTAATGTCTTTATGATCTGTCCCACTGGACTGAGATGAAGGCGTGAAATGAAACAAGCCCACAAACAAGCCTCAGAGGAGAACTTAAGATTGAAGGCATCCAATTACTACATGTTACTTTCAGCAATGTGCAGTACCAACACAAGTCTCCCATTTGTATCTTAATTTGCTTCCTTTTGTTGATTTGTTGCGGCTTCCTATTTCTCATTCTGTGTCAGTCTGAGCTGTGTTGGGAGAATGGACTGGGACAACAGAATTTCACAGTAATTCTGGATTGTTGTCGTGGTCCCACTCTTTCCTGTCTCCCCTCTCAGGGGCTTCCATCATTTCCAAACAGCTGTCGCTGCAGCCTTTGCCAAGACCTAACCACAACCGACCAATCGCTGGCCAACTCTGTGTTTGGATCTGGGCAGCCCTGTTAAACACCAGTGTTTGCCAATAGCCTCTCTCGCTCTCCGTCTTTCTTTCTCATTCTGTCATTCTCTTTCTTTCTGTTCCTCCCTCTGGCTAATAAGACTCTTTCTTCCAGTGCAGCCAACAAGCTTTAATATGTACCCACTAGCAGTACCAAAATACCATTTTAACCCACCCCCCAGCAGTTTTCTGCTTTCCTTTAAAAAACAAGCTCTAGTCCACTATTATTCCTTCATAACAGTCCTCACTGGAGCAAACCAAGCATTTCTTCTTGTGATGAGGGAAGGTGTTGTGTTAGTTAACCTACTCTCTAAAGACGCTCTCCATAAAACATTCTTTCAGAGAAAAAGGTAAAGTGACACAAGGAGGCAGAGACAGAAGGAGAGGAAGAAAATAGCAAGAACGAAGTAAAAATTAAGGCAGGGAGAGGAAATTCATTTGGAAGAAGTATGCAGCAGCAACTCTTGCTCAGTGGTGGATGGTGAAGGGAAGAAGATGATTAATGAAACGAAGGAGCCTGATCTGTAGAAATAATTTATTTCGCATTTATCAGAGCGTCCTTTTTCTGCTTTGGCTCACAGGTGTTCATTACTGAGTGAGCCAGGCTTTGAGGATATTGTCGATTTGTAACAGTGAATTTTAAATGTAAAAGGTTAGTGAATATACCGTTCAATACACAAAACCTCTTAGGCTTTACCTTTAGCTTTTGTCTTGTGTGTGAGAATAAACCCTAACATGTCTGTATGAACTCTGAAAGGAAGTGATACACAGTTCCACAAAAGCCAATTGTTATTTCATAGCCATAAACAAATCAATTCTGCTGTCACGTCTCTAATTACTTTCTCATTTTCATCAAGAGGCAAATTCAAGTCACTTAGTCATTGACACACTTCACTCCTCTATAATTGGACTATTTTTAATTCACTTGTTATGTTTATGTCTAATAATAAAAGGCAGAAGTAGTGTGACATTGTACCATAATATAAAATCTTGGGGGGGAGGTCAGGTTTGATGGTATGTGAGTGACTTTGTGGTAAATTGAGGTTTTGCCATCACCTGACCCAGTTATCAGTCTGTACAGCTGCCCCTAATCATCGCATTAGTGCAGGGCATATTTATAGCTACCAGTGGTCATTCTCTCCCATGTTATCTTGCCATTCAAGCCTTAGTTGTGATTTGCCTGTGCCTGTTGTTATGACCTGCTTACTTGCTGTAGCCCTTTCGATTGGTTTGCCTGTCCTGACTGCCTTCGCACTGCTGACTGTAAGCCCGCCTCTCAACAAGGTAAGGATTTTAGTTTTTACTACACCTGCTAAGTCTCTTGAGTCTGTTTTTTTGTTTCCAGCTCTGTGATCAGCTGTTGTAACTGGCCACTGGATGCTGGACACTGGACTTCTGTTGTATGTCTTCACCAATTATCCAGCAATTCCTCTGACACTGCTCTACCAGCTTTCTTCAATATTTGGGCCTCCTCAGTCCAGTACCCACCAGGGCACTGTCAGCTGAAACATGATTATCTGTTTTGAGACTTCTGACAGTATGACCACATCAGGCCTCAGTGACGTCAATGTAATGGTGTCATTCGGTTGGTGGCATGTGCTCTACACTCATGGTGCCAGCAGCCCTCTATGAGGGCCTTTGAGCAGATGCTAAAATGCCCACATGCAAATGTATTTGTCTATGAAATCAGATAACACCAAAAGTGTCACTTCCCTGTAATGCTGCCTGGTTGATTTTAAATGTTTGATATCTAATAACCCCCTAAAAATTCAATAAAGATGGATGTAGTATGGCACTGTTATCTACGTTAAAAAAGTCTAAAGGGAGAGAGGTCAAGTTTTATGGATAGAGTACAAAGCTAACCTTGCAAGGCAGCTGGACTCGCAAGATCAGGAGATCATGGGGGAATCCATCTTGCCAGACTTCAATCTATACGTTTGTGTCCGTTACAACGCTATCGGACCAATTGGTGTCCTTTGAGGAAGTACTGGCAGCTACGTCGGCCTGATTGGTCAGGCCCTATGTCTGAAAAAAAGATACAATTTCAAACATCAAAAACAGCCATATACACCCCCTCATGAATAAAATATATTGTATAACACAAAAATCTAAAACTTTGTCACCCAAAACAGCTCATTCTAAGATAACAAAAACACAACAATACCTATATTCAGGTGATTATACACTAATGAATACATATATGAATATTATATTCCATTTCTGCCAATAGATCCTATTAAATGTGACCCACTGGACCTTTAAGTATAATTCAAGAAACATTTTCTAATGCTTTCTTATTATTGCATTATTTTTAATAATAACTAATTTATCCCCCTTTTGCATATATACTCTATACTCATATATACTGTTAAAAAAAGTACTGCAGGGAGAAAATACAACCAGATCATCTGCATACAAAAGAATTCAGTCTGGCAGTCTGGATTCAGTTTTTTTGTTTGTTTGAATATAAAGCACTTCTGTATACCTACTCTGTTTTATAAAGTGTTACACAAATCATAGTTATTATTGTTATTGAATTGGCTTTCACTTTTTTATTAATGTGCACCTTTGAGATTTATTACTTATGACATCTTTGCACTCAAACCTATTGAAATTGCTTTAAATGCTTCTGTTATGTGTATGTAAAAGCCTGTTATTAAAGAGTCTGTGTGCTGGTGCCTCTCTACCCAAACTCCAAGGGAATATTAC